AGTTCGTAATTTCACTTGGACGGACTATTGTGTAATTTTAATTGGTGACGAGGATTTCAAAACAACAAAGAACTATATAGAACTAGTTACATTTATTCGTGAGAAACTTTTACAGTTGAATCACACTAATTTTATTATATGTCTACCCACTTTTAAATACATGGAAAATTCTAATATAATGTTTAATAGCAGAGTCGATACATTTAATAATTTAATTTATATGGACATTCAAACTCACAACTATGCGTCTGTCTTAGACTCAAATCTAAATCTTCCTTACACATATAATACGTACAATCAAAGACATGGTTTTCTCAATAACAAAGGATTTAGTATTGTAATATCGGACTTGGAAAGACTTATCTTAGATTTAAATGCCTCGAGCTTCGTGAAAGCGGTTGATTGTTCCGAGACACAATTAGAAATGGCACGGAGCTCATCGCAGTTTTTTCTATAATTATTGTCTCAATATTATCCATCAAAATATTGCAGGCCTCGTAAACAAAGCAGATTCTCTGATTGTAAAATTAGATGAACTTTTAAGTAATGGAACTAATATAGACGTAATATGTATATCGGAGCATTTTATTGAGACAGGGTATGAGAGTATTTTACACATACCTAACTTTTGCCCAGCGGCTTTTTTCAGCAGAAATACTAAACGCGGTGGTACTTGCATTTTTGTTAGGGCAGGGTTGCAGTATCGCGAATTATTAGACGTTGCTAAGCAGTCGGTAACAGGCGCCTTTGAGTGTTGCGGTATTGAACTCATTTCTTTTAATATTATTATTATATGTATATACAGAGTTCCAAAATATAATTACAACATATTTTACGAAAGATTAGAGCATGTTTTACAAAAATATTGTTCTCTTGAGAATAAAAATATTATCTTGGCTGGCGACTTCAATATAGATATCTTAAAAAATAATAAATTAGTATCAGAATTCGAACATTTCCTTTTACAATATAATTTAAAATTAGAAATCCGCAAACCGACTAGGTTGACGAGCAACTCATGCATTGATAATTTTGCTCACGCCTACAAGAAGAATTGTAAAGCTGAGATAATTGACTTCGGTCTTTCAGATCATACCTGTCAACTACTCAAGGTTCCTATCAATAAAACGTGTACACTCAAGTATTGGAAAAATAAGAAGCAAGATATTTCACTAGAAAATCTAAGAATCTTCAAAAAACACCTTAAATGCTTATCTTTTTCACGAGTATACGAAGCCAAAGATGCGGATGAATCATTCAAATACTTTATGGATGATTTTTCATTTCTATACCACTTGTGCTTCCCAAACAAAATCGTTACTGTATTTACTAAAAAAAAGAATAAATGGATATCTCGTGGAATAAAACTCTGTAGCCAAAAGCAAAGGCACTTACTGTGGACATATAGACTCAATCCTAATACGAAAAACAAACTTGCGTTTAAGAAATATTCCTCGCGTTATAGAAAAATAATACGACTAACCCAAAAGGCACAAAATAACAACTACATTAATACATCGAACAATAAATCAAAAGCGGCTTGGCAAGTCATTAATAAGTCAAAATTCAACTTACCCCAAGAGCCAATACTTTCAATTGAGAAGGATAATGTACTTATTACGGATCCGGCGATCATAGCAAATGAATTTAATGACTATTTTGTGGATATCATTGAAAATAATATAAAAACTAAAGGAACATCAACCCGTAACTACATTATTCAAAATTCGAATTCACAGTCGTTATTTATGTCACCGGTCTGTAATTACGATATTATTAAAATAATTAGCAGTCTAAAAAATACAAATACCGTCGGTGCCGATAATATATCAACTAAGGTAGTAAAACATATAAAAGATATTATTGCTCCTGTGTTGGCTCATATAATAAATCTTTGCATTTCAGACGGTTTATTTCCAACAGGTCTGAAAAAAGTTATTATTAAACCCCTTTATAAAAAAAATTACAAAACTTGCCTTCAAAACTATAGGCCTATTGCAAAGATATCTGTATTTTCAAAAATTATTGAGAAGGTAGTTTATAATTCTATATATTCATATTTTGAAAAATTCAATCTTTTCTGCAATGAACAGAAAGGATTTAGAAAAAATACAAATATTAATATGGCCTTGTTCGACTTCATCTCTAACGTAATGGCATCCATAGATAAACGAAATCCTGTTAGTGCTATATTGACTGATATGACAAAAGCGTTTGATTTTGTTAATCATAAAATTCTGCTGCAAAAATTACAGGGGTATGGAGTGAGAGGTAATATTCTGAAACTCATAGAATCATATCTGAGTAACCGATCTCAATGTACAGAAATCACCAGAATATGCCCTGCTACTAAATTAGAGAAAAAATATTTATCTAAACCAAGGTTTACAAGATATGGTGTACCACAAGGAAGCGTCCTGGGGCCACTACTTTTCTTAATTTATATTAATGATCTCCCCAAAACAATAGATCACAAAATGGTGTTGTTTGCAGATGACAGCACTGTTATTGTGGAATGTAATAATTATAATAATTATCAAAATGACATAAATAATTCATTGAATGACATTATAAATTGGCTTGACATTAATAATCTTATAATTAATTTAAATAAAACAAAAGTTGTACATTTCCACCAACGTCGTAAACACTTACCGTTTAATGTAACTTATAATAACTGTATAGTGGAGGAAGTTACAAGTGCGAAATTCTTAGGCATTACCATAGATAATAAATTAACTTGGAAACCTCACTTAAATGAAATATGCACGCGTCTCAGTAAGTCTGCATATCTTTTATTCCAATTAGCCAAGAAAGTTGATACTAATACACTTCTTACGGCCTATCATGGATTGGTCGCCTCTATTATAAGATACGGTATTATTTTTTGGGGGCATTCAATTGATAGGGAACTTATATTCAGAAGGCAGAAGAGGTGCATTCGGTCTATGTGCGGTCTGAGACAGACGGATAGCTGCATTCCATACTTTAAAAAGTTTAAAATACTTTCTTTACCATGTATGTACATATTAGAGGTGGCGATATTTGTTAAAACAAATCAACATTTGTTTCAAAAATTCTCAACTGTTAAGAGGACCCCTATTCGTTCACAATACGAAAATTTATTATGTACATATAAATGTAAAACTGCCCTACTAAAAAAGAGTGTCCTTGGTATTGCACCAATTATTTTCAATAAAATACCAGATGCCATTAAATGTTTGCCGATACATAAATTTAAACAATCTCTTCAGATGCTATTACTTGAAAAATGTTACTACAGCGTAGATGAATTTATAAATGATACTTTGCATTGATTGTGAGTTTCAATTTATTTGTTTTTCTTTATAATTATTTCTTTTTTTGTAAGTATAATTTAATTTAGCCTGAATGTGGACATATTGTTTATTATCTTGTTCTCTATAATATTTATAATAATGACATCTTGTTTATAATTTTGACATATTTTGTTCACCAATTGACATAATTTAAACTGTTTGACTTGTGATTTTTAAATTATTATTTTTATTCATTTACATTATAATTTTTTTTTTCATTCAAACTTTGACATTTGATTTTGTATAATTATTGATTGTAGATTGGTATTATCTGCCTAAAGTAATGATTTAGTACGCCATCAATGGCAAAACATGTAGACTCTGTACTAACCAAAAAACACCTGCATTGTAATTACTCATGTTTTACTAAATAAATATATCTTATATCTTATCTTATCTAAACTAAAAACTAAAATCAAACGAAACTCCTTTTTTTTAGGTAATAAGTCTAACAAAAGCCGGACAGGCCGGACACCGTTTATTTTGGCCGGACTAGCAATCAAAAAGCCTACCTATGTCCGGCTTTATCCGGACGCCTGGCAACGTTATGTATGTGTATGTGTGTATGCGACTCCGCATTTCTACATGTTATTTCATGTAATTGTTAAATAAGTTAGGAGTTACAATAGGGTAGATGATAAATTTTTATTTTAATGTCCGTTTGGTAGATTATTTCAAAACATTAATCATGTATTTTTTATTTTCTTACGGTAACGTAGTTTCGAAGATTGATTGGTTTGAACTATCGCATGACGTCACTTTTGAGTACGACCTCCCACTCGTAAACTTTGATTCGTTTTATCTAAGTATTGTTTTCTCATACGAAAAAAGAAAAAAATACGTGTCTAATATTTTTTCATTACCTAACTGACGGACTAATTAGATTTTTAATTTTCATACCCTGTCATCATCCTTAATACACTTTGGAATGAGTGCCTAGTTGAACTGACAGACAGACGGGCAGCCAATTAAATTTTTGGCGCTTCAAAATGGCTATTTAATGATTAATTGAAATAAATGCTTTGACGTTAATGTAAACATGCACCAAAAACAACTGCAAATTAGTGATAGCAGTGATCCATAGGACGCTGGTTCATATCCGGCTCGAAGGACCAATGTTTCCTAGCTAAGCTACTAGGTGATCTGCTGACCTACTAGCACACAAGATGACAAGATGGGGTGAATATAAATAAAAGCGCCTCTGTGTACTGATCTAAGCTGGTATATGTTCTATATATTTGACATTAGATCTTTTGGTCTTACAAATCAATTTTACCTTATACTTTCATTGGTAACGAAACCATAGCTCGATTTAATTGCGACAACGCCATCTATCGAGCTATGAGACAACTTTTGAACAATAATATGTTTTGACTTCAACAATAAGTTTGGTCTTGAACAGGTACTTCAAGTTCACCAGTTGATTCCACAGTTTAATTCTAAACATAGTTACAAATAAAAATCGCGGGTTACTCACTTGAATATAATAAGAAAAGCTCTAGTTTCGAACTACAGAGGGGACTTCCTCATTAGCAGAGTGCGCGGTCATGGCGATGTCGCGCAGCCTACTCAGTCGAGCTTCTCTCAGTATATTCACGTGAGTAACCCGCGATGTTTAGTTAATATAGTATGTCTCTCGATAGTTATTGTAAAAATACTTACAAATAAACTATAGGTCCAATCTCCTCCACGTTCAGCTTCTGATCAAGTCCCAGAAGGAACCTCTCGTGGTTTGTCACGTTGAAGACGTAGGTCCTCAACTTGACCTCATCAGGTGGATCTGACCACCATTCGTAGGGAGGCATGCCTGGGGACAAAAGAGAAATAAATTGATAAAAATTAAGGTTAAAAAAAACGATTACAAACCTTCCTTTTTTTATATCGGTTAATTAACTCGTCGAGTACCGTCATTATAGACACAATTATAGAGCAATAGGTTGCGGTCACCGGTGACCGCTTGGTGTTTGACAGTTTAATATACTAAAACTTACTTAACACTTTTCTGAATCACAATTCGCATCAAAATTGGTTTTGGCAATATAATTCGGTACTTTCCTTAATCAAAAGTAAATTATTTCGACTCTTCATAAAATAACAACACGCCTTTTATCCCCGAAGGGGTAGACAGAGGTGCACATTATGCCACTGTATAATGTAACACCCACTTTTCACTATTAATGTTATGAGTCCCATGTAATAGGAGGTGAGCGACTGTTCAATACAACAAAATATAAAAAAATAATCACACTTTCATTAATTGATTTTATGACTAAGTTAATTTTAGTATTTTCCAGCAGATTTTTAAGAAATAAGTACGCTGTTTGACATTAAAAAAACGTGACGTCATACACACACACACAATCTCGTACAAAATTCATAGAAAACTGTCGTTTTTGACAGTTCGAAAAAAGTATTGAATTCGACTAGTTGGCCAATAGCCGTAGCCACTTGTACATACATAAATGCAGGTCAAACTGCGAACTTCATATTAAAATTGGTTAAAAATTCTTTATAATTACATAGAATTTTCAATTTTTAAAAAGTTCTATGTACCTAATTATTGCTGATTGAGTGTTATCATCGGTCCTCTTCACACGGGTATCGTGAAAGCAGTCTTATGGTCGAAATTACCTAGGAAGCGCGCCGATCCGAGCGTTTTTTTTTTTTTTTTTAACGGGGGAAAATCATCGTATGACTGCTCCCGCCTGGGTGAGGCGGGAGGGAGTGTCAGACTCTTACTGGCTAAAAACCACCCCGTTCCTTCTCCTGCACGTCGAGCCGGAGCCCCGGTTACCCGTTAGGTTCTCCGCGACTCCGAATCGGCATCGGCCCTATTGGGCCCATCTATGGTGGTCTGATGGCTCTTTGAGGCGCGCGCGGAACGCGACGCGCCGTACGCTCGGGTCTGTTTCTGGTCGGACGGGGAGCCACCCATGCTCGCCGTCCGCAGGCCCGCGCTTACGGTGGCCGGAGATCGTCCCGCGATCCCCGACGCCCGGTGTGTCCTTCGCGATGGCTGGGTTGCGAGGAGGCAGCGCTTCGCTGCCTCACGCGTCCCGCCTCCTCCTTAGCTAGCATGACTGCTTCGCAAAAGGAGGAGACGGCATCCCAATCCCCCTCGCTCCGCATCATGGCCTGCACTAGGCCCGGACGCGAGAGGTCGCCATCGCCGATCACTTCCCTGAGGACACGGCGGTGCTCAGCCCACGAAGGGCATTCTCCCACCGTGTGTTCCACCGTGTCCTCAGGGCGGTCCTCGCAGTGATGACACCCGGGCGTTTCCTCCTGCCCCATCAGACACAGGTACCTCCCGAAACTCCCATGTCCGGTGAGGACCTGCGTCAGGCGGTAGGTGAGGACGCCGTAGCGTCTCTCAAGCCACTCCTCAAAGAGGGAACTTACCGCTGCGATGGCAGCGAGCCCAACCGATCCGAGCGTACGGCGCATCGAGTTCAAAAAGAGTCTGACATTCCCTCCTACCTCACATTGTGTCATTGGAAAACCCCCCAAAAGTAGTATACATATAAATATATATTTTTTTAAGGGTGGAAAATCATCGAATGACTACTCTGGCCAGGGGTGAGGTGGGAGGGAGTGTCAGACTCGTACGGACTAAAAACCACCCCGTTCCTTCTCCTGCGCTTCGAGCCGGAGCCCCGATAACCCGTTAGGTTCTCCGCGACACATTTAGATATATTACCTATGTCAATAATTATAAAATCATTTTCTATGTATTAGTCTGTAAGCCTTCTTAAAATAAATAAATAAATAAATAACGGATAATACATAGGAAGCCTTGTAAATAAAACATTGAAATGTGTCATATTTCTATTTGAATAAAGTTTATAATCAATTAGCAACGTGTTGATAATAAATATTGTCTGAATGATTTAAACTGTCAAACACCAAGCAGTCACCGGTGACCGCAACCTATTTTCTATAATTGTGTCTACAAAACCGGTACTCGACGAGTTAATGGTTAGGTACCTATAATGTTTAGTTTTAACCAATATTTGGTATTTGACTGTCTTATATTATAACTTTCGTGAAATATACTAAATTAATTATTATGTTTTTGGCTAACTCAAGTAACTGTTTGATGAGGAACTAGACTAACAGAGTAGCAGCGCGACAGTTGCCGCGTCCCTCGGTGCTTACTCTTGAAACCAATCCCAATGCCAATGCAATTTCAATCCAATAAAATTTCAATAACTATTCAATGTAAAAACTATACAACCCCTATCGTAACTGTTAAAATAGCATTCAGACTACAGAATATAAAGCCAAACTCAATACCATTTAGTTCATTCAATATCCACGCAATACGGATGCAATGGGCGCTAGTGTTGCAACTCAATAGGACGCAAGTTTACAATACCAATGTCGATCGATCGGAATTGCATTCAAGAGTAAGCCACCTGGTCGCGGAATGCTGCTCAGGAATATGAGCCTCTAACATAGTTTATCAGAGAGCGCTGCTGCCCGGTGTCTGTTAAATGTGTAGTCCTTAGTCGGGTATACGATACCCGCGGGAACAGTAGCGGTGGTGAAAAATGTTGTGCTCTGTCATTACTTGAATTAAAAGTAAATTTTCATTGCATCTTTGATATTAAAATTAGTTTTTGTCAACGCTATCCTTCTTGTCACACAATGCTTTGTTTAACCTAGACATAGCAAACACTCTGATGACCTTAAACTTGAATAGCGAGGTGATAATCAAACACGCGACCCGCTGTCTCAATGTCAACTTATTATCTAACATCTGAGTTATTCGACTGTCTCGCGGGCGAGTGGTGACAACTACGATAGCTAAGCAAGATAGAGAGAAGAAAGAAATAAACTAAGGGAGAAATAAAGAAAGAGAGATAAGAAAGAGAGAAAGAAAAAAATCAAAAGAAAGAGAGAGTAAGAAACACTATAAAAACGTTGTCACAACGCAAAATAGTCAGTGATCAACTTAAGGCGCTCCAATGACTGCACCGCGCCCCGTCGAGTAGTGCGGGTTGGCAGATGATAATGGTCTTTTCAATCTGGTTTTTTTTGTAACTCGATGGATATCCTCATGGACTCTCCATGCCGGACTCTTGCCGACTAAAACCACCGCGGTGTTCCTCCTCTACCTGTGGCCGTGACCCGGGACGCCCTTGCGGATTCACCGCACCGGGCAGGGACCTACCACTATATTGCGGCAGGTCCCACCCCGTAGCAGCCCTCAAAAGCTCAGCCCTTCCTCGAGTGACGCGAGTGGAAAAATGTGGGTGGAGCGCAATACTGTGACCCGGCCACGATGGCTCAAGTCTATGCTGCTGATTTCTAGCACTGACCAGCCTGACGTGAGACGTCGTGGGAGAACTATGCTTCGGCACAAATGGGCCGGCTCAAGAGGAGTAATATGACGGTCTCACACATAACTAGCGTGAAACAACGATGGCTTTGTGTGCAGTCGTGGTACTGCCGTATTCAGAGACATTTCATAATAGACACGATTTCGTTCCGAAAATCATTGCTAAGGACTGGGTTAAGTAGCCATTAAATAACCGAATACGGGCGTTAATGAGGTTACCGGAGGCATTCCCCCTCTCCATTCGCAATCCTCAAATCCTCATCAATCCCCAAAGGGTCGGCAATGCACTCATGACATATGCATCTCTGGTATTGCAGCTATCCATGGGCGGCGCCGATTGCTTACCATCAGGTGATCTGTTTGCTCGTTTGCCACATGCCCTAAAAGAAAGAAAATAAGAAAATTTTGTGAAGGGCCGAGGCACTCATACATCGGCAGTAGCACGGGCACGGCTTACTTCCTCCGCTTCGATAAGGCTTCCATACTAGCGAGGGAGAAATACAGAGCCATCAAAATAAGTCGTCCGTCGTACGAACTTTAACATGGACGTTATGGTAGACCCGTGCTTATGGTGGCCGGAGATCGTCTCGCGATCTCCGACGCCCGGAGTGTCCTTCGCGATGGCTGTGTTGTGAGGAGGCAGCGCTTCGCTGCCTCACGCGCCCCGCTTCCTCGCATGACTGCTTCGCAAAAGGAGGAGACGGCATTCCAGTCCCCCTCGCTCCGCATCATTACCACGTGCCTGGAAGACGAGTCTGAAGTCGCCATCATCACGGGTCGCGGAATGCTGCTCATGAATATGAGCCTCTAGCATGGCTTGAAACTAATCGAGTTTCTCGTCAAAAAGTTACTTGAGTAAGCCGAAAACATAATAATTAATTTATTATGTCTAACGAAAGTTCTAATATAAACAATATTTTTTATTAAATCTACTTACCAGGCCTCATATTCAGTTTCTCTAGTAACATAAAGTCTAGAGGCGTGAATATAAAACTGCCTATCGAGAGTAGTATCAGCAGGACTCCCCACACGCATTGGACCACGGGACCTGGAAAAATAAAACGACTACATGAGTTACTCTTTAATTGTATGTAGGTAGTTTTTATTACCAGGGAACTAGGTCTAATTTACAATGGTTCTCCCTTTCTTACTTCTGTGAATTATGAGCTGTAGCGAGGCGAACGACGTAACACTGTCAAGAGTTAGGTAACTCGAAAACTTTACATTATATTTATATTTTAATTAATTTAAAAAGCTGTAACTAAATTAATTAATAAATCATTCGACAGCCAAATCCCAAGTATAATTGGATAATGATTTAGAATTGAACTAGCGACCACTCAGGTTTGATCTTACAAGAGTGAGGTTACCGGAGGCCCAATTCCCCTCCCCTTCCCCAATCTCCCTATTCCCTGAATCCCCAACGATCCTCAAACTCCTAATCCCCAAAAGGCAAGTAACGCACTTGTAACGCCTCTGGTGTTCCAGGTGTCCATGGGCGACGCCGATTGCTTACCGTCAAGTGATCCCTCTGCTCGTTTACCGGATTATGACATACAAAAAAAACCTACTTACTTGTCAATAGTCAAAAAGTTAAAATCATTTATTTCAATTTAACCAGGTAGACAATTTTGAACGTCAATAAAAAAACTTATAAGTGAATCTATTTGCTCATTTCAAGGTGTAGATTCCTATGGAGAAGAACGAGAAAGAAACTCCATAGGTTACTCTTTTTCAATCCGGTTCACAATACAATATTCAGTTACATAATTCTTGTCGGTTTAATTCTATGTGGTTTGATTTGAGTTGACTTTGACTCGGTCGGTGTAGAATTTCAACTTTTCCAAGTAAATTCTGGACATAACCACACCCATAAATTGTAACGGGACTGTCAAACAGATGGATCAATTGGCAACAATACAGTGTTAAGTTTAAATTCCTGTGTAGAGGTATAATGTCGATCACGATTCAAGGAACACGCATAGAAGTACAGTGCAAGAGATATTTTATTGAACCAGAGGCCAGATACCTAATACAATGTTTAACAACAAAATTAAAGTATATAAGAGCTGTGATTACATCGTATATAATATAGAGGTACTTACAGTGCAGAAGATATTAGATACCTTAGTGGTTTTTGATTGCAATTTTAAATGGATAATCCTGACGTGCAGGAGGAGGAACGGGGTGGTTTTTAGTCAGTAAGAGTCTGACACTCCCTCCCGCCTCACCCAGGCGGGAGCAGTCTTTCGATGATATTCCCCACTTAAAAAAAATCCTGTACCTACTACATACTTTTAAAAAAGAGTAACGAATGGAGTTTCTTGCTCGTTCTTCTCCATTCGAATCTACATTTTGGAATGAGCACCTAGCTTCACCTAACTTCACTGACGGACTGACTGACAGACTGTTATTTATTTTGTATTAAAAAAATCTCAGCAGTAACACGGAGTCTGGAATTGTGCACAGTATATGGCAATAGGCTCACCCCCTATTACATGAGACTCATAACATAAATAGTGATAAGTGGGTGTTACATTGTCCAGTGGCATAATGTGCACCTCTGCCTATCCCTTCGGGGATAAAAGGCGTGATGTTATGTTATGTTATGGTTTCCTAAATATTACTCAAATCATTCATCATTGAATTCTATCAAAACAAATGTTAGTCAGTCCAGATTCGACCTCAAGGAGTACATAATATAAGTTATATGAATGAAGAAATACATTCTAAATAATGCTAATTTCAAGGATAAGTATATTTCTATCTTTAAACTACTTAATTAATTTATTCATTTTATATTTTTAGACTAGAAATGATTTCTATCAGGCTAATCGTAATTTTAAAACAGAATCGTTGTTTTTTTATGCACATCTTTTGAAATTAGTGCAATAGTCTGACTGAATGTTTAACTCGTTTAGAAGAAGGTCAGTCTTGTCGATTAACAATGTTGTCGATTTTGTTGTTACTGAGTGAGTGACACAACGAATTAACTATAAGTCTTCAATTATTGCGCGTAGCAAGATGTGTAACATGTCTTTTGGTGTGTATAGCCACACGCGGGTTGTCTGGGCTCCGGCTCGAAGTGCAGGAGTAGGAACGGGGTGGTTTTTAGACCCTTAATGCCAGTGCCACTCGATTTAGGTGTAAACTCCTCATCAATACAAATTAATCAAGCCCAAACACAAGGCAGCTACTGTATACCGTTGAGGAGTTCTCTCGACTGTCTGTCGGCTCCATCATCAAGTTGACTCCAGACCCTTATCAAATTGTATTGTTTAAAAATACTAATTAAAAATAATAATAGACGCACTACTCGCCCCTACAATTTTCGAAAAGTTCCCCTCGGTTTCCCTAGGATTCCATCATCAGATCCTGACTTCATGGTAATGGGACCATCTCGGAAGTATAACCTTTCATTTTGGAAATCGGTTCACAAATGGGGGAGTATACGGTGAAAAACCAAAAAAAAGCGATCAGCCGAACATACCACCCGAACGGGAGAAGCCATGGGATGATTTACCCCTCTCAAAAAAAAAAGGTTTCCTTACGATGTTTTCCTTCACCGTTTGTCAGTGGTGTCTGAATAATGTTAGAAAGTATAACTTGGAGAATGTCCCATTGGTACTTGTCGTTGGTGGGTTTCGAGCCTGCGACCTCATGCATGAGAAGCGGACATCGAAAACGTCTGAGACACCACGACCTACCCCGGGCACTACTTATGGGCCCCGAATGCCGTTGTGGTAAAGGCGGTACTGGTCCCCCTACTAACAGGCCGACCCTAGCTTTGTTACTACCGGTAGTTGAATAAAAAACAGTGTTTAACAAATATATTATTATGTTTTTAGTTTACTCGCGTAATTATTTGACGAGGAACTCGACTAGTTTCAAGCCATAGTAGAGGCTCATATTCATGAGCAGCATTTCGCGACCCGCGACGCCGACGAGGCGACTGTCGCGCTGCTACTCTAGAGTAGCAGAGAGAGAGAGTCCAGATACCTAATATAATGTTTAACAACAAAATTAAAGTATATATGAGCTATGTTTACATCATACATAATTATTATTTACATAATGTACTCCAGCGAGGTCAGGAACCTCATAGTGAGACATCTCAATATGAATACTAAATGAACCGACCTGGGGGCTTAGACAAAGTAACGATTTAAAAACGATAACGAAGTACGTTAAGACTAAAATGTATGGGATTGACATAGGCCGCGTTAAGTCACGTGGTCAATCGACTTCGTTATCGCAATTTGGTAGACAATGTTATATTTCATAACGAAACTATAAAGTAACGAATCGTTATCGTGTTTATTCCATATAAATGCGTAGACAAGCAGACCTTTCAGTGTTCGCCAACGCCTCGATCGTGATCGCCAAAAAAGATAACGAAACGAATGCTAAAACGTTGTAGTTATTGAAACAATATGGCCGAATTTCATTCGGCAGCAGATTTTTGACATCGATTGATCCTGTTATTATTTATTTTGTGTTAGAGGCAATACACTAATACAGATCAAATAGATTAAAATATGCATTCTCTGCGTTTATTGTGGGCTGCACACAATGAGACCGCCTGGGAGAGGCGCCAAAAACGGTTAAAACAGCGACGGTTCAACATAGGTACTTCATTGTTAAGATCGCGTCATTGTTTACATTACATACTCATGAATGAAACTTAGATTTACTTACGTTTCCATATACTCGAGCAGCGTTGCGAATTGTTCAGAACTTGCTCGCACTCTTGATTCCATGTTTTATCATTTAAATAGATAAGAAATAGAGAGAGATCCATCATCGTTTGAACACCAGTCACTTATAAAAATGAGTCTATTTTGATTATCATTAAGTTTTGGAAACGATCTAAAAGTAATAACACTCTATTCACTTACGACTGTAAAATTATCGTTTATATTTAACTTAAAAACAATTAAACGCAACACTCACTTTCTTATTAATAAAATTTTAAAACATCAATATCTCGCGGGTTTGATCCGATTTGAACTTTTTGACTGTCACTGACAGCTGGATTTTCGATACCATAACCAATATTTTTGTTTTTTGCCGAATAAAGAATTCGACACAACGATCACGACCACAGTGTTACATTGGCTAGGAAATGTTTATCGTTATCTCAGAGACGATGGCGAATTTACTTTTCGTTTCGCTATTAAGCGATGTTACTTTGTCTAAGGACCCTGTGATGTTTATGGTTAACGGAAAATTAGTTCATAGTATGTTTAGTACAGACAAGGTATTGTGTCTAATTCTAAAAAGGTGGTAGGCAGAGGTGAGTCTAGAAGATTTTCTTAAATATGTTAAGGTTATAAATATTTACTGCCTCATTGGCCAAGTGGTCGCAAGTGCGACTGCCGGGCAACGGGTCTCGGGTTCGATTCCCGGGTCGGGCAAATTAAACTGGGTTTTTTAAAATCTCAGTAGTAGCACGGAGTCTGGAATTGTGCCCGGTATATGGCAATAGGCTCACCCCCTATTACATGGGACTCATAATATAAATAGTAAAAAGTGGGTGTTACATTGTACAGTAGCATAATGCCTACGTGATATTATGTTATGTGTTGTTATTTTATATAATCATCCATAACATTTTCAAAGTTCAAGGTCATACCAAAAAAATCCAGGTCATCTATTTCAAAACAGCTGACGATCTCATCCTCTATTGTATGTTAATTCACCCATCCAATTACAAACCTCGGCGACGGTGGTTTTCCTTAACGGTCTATCAATTAAAGATTAACACTTAGTATCCTGACCTCAATATCTTTAAATGATTTTTTGACGTCATTCATGACGTTTGGTAACATAGAAGTCATCTGACGTCATCTTCAAGTTATGTAAGGAGCTTGAGTCACCTTCATCTATCTAATAAACGAGCAATAGGGTAGATGCCTAATTTTTATTTTAATGTCCGTCTGGTAGATTATTTTAAATCATTAGACACGTATTTTTTCTTTTCTTGCAGAAACGAATACTTTCGACGATATAATGATTTGAAATGACACATGACGTCACTTCTATGTACATTTTATACGTAGAAATGATGTTTTAGCCCCCACTCCTAAACTTTGATTCGTTTTATCTTCTAAGTATTGTTTTATTATACAACAAAATAAAAAAATACGTGTGTAATATTTTTTCATCACCTAACTTACGGACTAATTACATTTTTAATTTTCATATCCTGTCATCATCCCAATTCTTGTTTTTTTATGGTATAAGCCGATAAACGAGCATAAGGATCACCTGATGGTAAGCAATCGGCGCTGCCTATCGACACCTGAAACACCAGAGGCGTTACAAGTGTGTTATCGGGCTTTTGGGGATTAGGAATTTGAGGATTGTTAGGGATTTAGGGATTGAGGTTGGGGGGAGGGTAATTGGGCCTCCGGTAACCTCACTCACTCGACGAAACACAACGCTGTGGTTGTTTCACGTCGGTTTTCTGTGACGTCGTGATATCACTCCGGTCGAGCCGGCCCATTCGTGTCGAAGCATGGCTCACTTAAAAGATGAGTTTATTTATAGCATACAGTTATATAATTATGTATGTAATATCCTGGTGGATCTTGCTTCATTTTTCTTTGCAGATACACCCGCATTCCAGTAACGCCACAATACAAAAAAACCTCATCAATTTTAAACCTGCTTCATGTTAAACTGTTTATGTTTAGGTAATTGCTAACCTTTCCTCTAAATTAAATTGCAAATATTATGATTTATTTCATAGTTTGTATATCCTATTAAATGATTGAATGCACCAATCACGTTATGTTAATTAATTCAATCTTTAAATTACTGCATATATAAGCTGCTGTTTACATGACTGTGAACATGCGAACCAAAGAGAAGAGGCCAAGAGAGATTCGAATCGGTGGCGCTTTGTCTTTGGTCTCTACTCTTCTCTGTCATTTCGCTCTTGGCAGAGCGGTCGTGGTCACGTTAAGACAGCCATATTTGTCTTGGAGGCCGATACTGCTTTCCTCACGATCTCCCGCCATCTCTGTCTGTTTGTGGAATGTCTGGCACAGTCTGACACTAAGTTTCCCGTTGCGGATTTGACTTGATCAGTGGTCTCTTACTACCATGGATTGAACATATCGTGGTGGCCCGGAGGTTTAAGCTTCTCGCTTCTCATGCATGAGAGTTCCGGTTCAAAACCTATCAACGGCAAGTATCTATGTGGCTTTATCCGAGATATACGTACTTTCTAAGATTATATAAACACCACTGACAAACGGTGAAGGAAAACATGATGAGGAAATCTGGGCGTATAATTTCTAATTATAAGTTTGAAATCACCAACCCACATTGAGTAAGCGGGGTGATTAATGCTTGAACCTTCTCCGTTTGAGAAGAGGCTTTATTCAGCAGTAGCCTATAAATATAGGCTGTTGATGATGATAACCATGGAACAGAGGTTTTTTTGAGGGGGCAAATCAATCACTGGCTTCTCCCGTCTTGGGTGGGGCGAGAGGTAGTGCCAGACTGTTACTGAATAAACAATACCCCGTTCCTACTCTTGCTTCGAGCCGGAACCCCGGTAACCCGTTAGGTCGTCCATCATGTGAACATTTATCATGACCACGACAGACAAGGCGATTAATTTCGAAAATTCAATCTGTAATTGGACCTTACAAATGCAGGTGCTTTAAATTTGCGAAAGGCAACAACTTAAATCGAAAGTTGAAGGCCTTATTAATGTGGTTATTGACCCAAGAAATTAGAATTAAATTTTGGCATTATACGTTTTGGTAAAACGCTGATATTGTTGTACTGGAATGGATTTATGCTGCTGTCAGGTATTTTAACCGCATTCTGGTTAACGGCAACGATTGATTTAGATGTTCCTGTGATATCTGGAATGATTTAATGAGGTCTCGAATGGAAACATGAGGATTAACCATCGCCGCCAAATTCCCATTTTCGGGGTAACTTTAGAACCGTAAGCTGAGTAAAATAAACACCTATGTACCTTACGAATACAATCAAGCCAATCAAATATCAACTTAATAACAACTAAAATTAAGTTACTTATACCACGGGAGTGTTTTGAGGAAATGTCTGATCTGATACCTGCTGCGTCTTTTCGCCATCGACCCTCACGACAGTAAGTACATTCTCATCATATAGATGGCTGGCCACAATTGTGCGCTTCTCTCGTAGATTTCTGCCTCGCACAGCAAAACTATGGAATGATCTGTCGTCGGCGGTATTTCCGAATCAATACGACCTTCAAAACTTCAAGAAAAGAGCCTTCCTGTTTAAAAGGCCGGCAACGCGCCTGTGGCCCTTCTGATGTTGCGGGTGTCCATGGGCGGCGCTGATCGCTTACCATAAGGTGATTTGTCCGCTCATTTGTCTCCTATTCCATAAAAAAAGTCCAAAATAACAAACTTACTGCAACACGTTCCCCTTTTCTTGTTCACTTCGCATTTGGTTTCTTCAATGCAGTTTTCGGCACAAGTATTGTCATTGGTTTTGTAGAGGCTGTTCAGGGAGTCTGAGGCACTGTCCGGATTGCTGTCACTGTCGTCAGACCTCAGGGACCCTGAAGAAGACCCATTGTCTTCGTGAAGAATCTTCTCTGAAGACATGGTGGTTGCGGTTTCTGGAAAGATGAAAAATTGGGATTTAAAATGTGTTTTATACTCTTGTTTGTTGACAGTTGCGGCCATAATGTGTGTATACCGGGAGCCGGTGTTTCAACTGACAAGAGGCTGAAAGAGATATTAGTTGACAGATCGTCTGATGGTAATGAGTGGTTGTCGCTGTTCATACCGATGCGATCCCTATATTTTTTAAAAAAGGGATATAACTGGATATGGTTGGACTGTACGGATCAAAAGAAACTAAGAGGGACAATAAAAATATGATATCAAGTTGATTTGTAGAAAAAAAATATTCTTTTTACTACTTTAGTTAAGTCGAAAATGGTTTGCATGCGTCATGTAGTCTCTGAATATAAGAGTGATGATGATAAAAGTGAAAATCAAAATTATTAATTTCAATTAGACCAGGAAGGCACTTTTAAACGTCAACACGTGTCTTTTATCCTTGCACACAAACGGCTGAATCAGTTTTGATGACATATATGTTTCAAATATTGATTAATGGAATCGCAATTGGGGCGTGCCGAATTACGCAATGTATCGAATGTAAATGATAGTAAAAGCTACTGTTCCCACAAAGTTGCCGTCTTTGGGAGATTTGAAATTTTTAACTAATTCATCGTAAGTATACTAAAAATCTTGAATATCCTGATTTTAAAATCGGATTTGTTACGGACAAACAAAGTTATAGGCAAACCTCAAGTCAAATTTGGAAGTGCCATGCTTCGATACCAGTGGGCCGGCTCAACCGGAGTGATACCACGGCATCACAGAAAACCGACGTGAAACAACGCTTGCGTTGTGTTTCGTCGTGTGACTGAGATTAGTGGAGGCCCAAATCCGCCCCCCTCCTTACTCTCCCCAGTCCCCAACAATCCTCAAAAGGCTTCTTCTAATCCCCAAAAGGCCGGTAACGCTCTTGTAACGGCTCTGGTATTTCAGGTGTCCATAGGCGACGCCGATTGCTTACCATCAGGTGATCCGTCCGCTCGTTTACCGGCTTATACCATAAAATACAATTATAATTATAGAAGCTTAATTACCTAACATTTGCTCAAAAATATCTATATATTCAAACAAGGATATATAACAAGTGTACCCAGTAAGGGTATCGACAGAACACTACAGTAAACTTGTTATTGATTCACCCCATTTTGGCAATGTGGTGCTTACTGGCTACGGTCCAAATATTTAGACTGCATGGTGTATTATGGCTTTGTTGGTCGAGTAGATAAAAGCGAGATAGCTGTGCAGAAGAAAGAATCAAAGAAAGAAAAACCATTTATTCTTGAGCAGAGGCCTTAGTACGAGTTTGTTTTACGTTTAAAGTAATAGTAACGAGTACGCGTTCGGCGCTGTGATTGGTTGCTTCATTTGCGCCGGCCAATCAGAGTGCCGAACGCGTACTCGTTTCGAATACTTTAAACGTAAATCAAACTCATACTAAGGCCTCAGAATACACATAACTTAACTAAAAAATAAAAATAAAATGTAATTTAAAGCGAGGGTAAACCAAGGTAGGTATAATAGAAATAGAAATAGAGGTTAGGAACTTAGGTTGGATTCTCGGGCCGGGTAAAATAATTTCGAATATTAAAAAATAAAAATAAAATTTAATTTAAAGCGAGGGTAAACCAAGGTAGGTATAATAGAAATAGAAATAGAGGTTAGGAACTTAGGTTGGATTCTCGGGCCGGGTAAAATAATTTCGAATATTAAAAAATAAAAATAAAATTTAATTTAAAGCGAGGGTAAACCAAGGTAGGTATAATAGAAATAGAAATAGAGGTTAGGAACTTAGGTTGGATTCTCGGGCCGGGTAAAATAATTTCGAATATTAAAAAATAAAAATAAAATTTAATTTAAAGCGAGGGTAAACCAAGGTAGGTATAATAGAAATAGAAATAGAGGTTAGGAACTTAGGTTGGATTCTCGGGCCGGGTAAAATAATTTCGAATATTAAAAAATAAAAATAAAATTTAATTTAAAGCGAGGGTAAACCAAGGTAGGTATAATAGAAATAGAAATAGAGGTTAGGAACTTAGGTTGGATTCTCGGGCCGGGTAAAATAATTTCGAATATTAAAAAATAAAAATAAAATTTAATTTAAAGCGAGGGTAAACCAAGGTAGGTATAATAGAAATAGAAATAGAGGTTAGGAACTTAGGTTGGATTCTCGGGCCGGGTAAAATAATTTCGAATATTAAAAAATAAAAATAAAATTTAATTTAAAGCGAGGGTAAACCAAGGTAGGTATAATAGAAATAGAGGTTAGGAACTTAGGTTCGATTCTCGGGCCGGGTAAAATAATTTCGAATATTTTTCGGTTTTTTCTGAAATACGAGTTAAGTATTACTAAGAATATCGAAAATGGATGAAACTAAGATTCTTTTCTTTGACTTGGAAGTTGATTCTTTTTTCATATCAATCAGGCTTATCAACACTGTGATGTTAGTTAGAGTAAAGAATGGAACATTCTTATAACATACCAGGGAATCGAACTAAAAACCTAAGCAAAGGTAGTGGACAAATAGCCAAATTCCTACAGCAGCCTATAAATGCCCACTGTATTCAAGTACCAGTCATTTGCACGATAACCCACACAATAACTTTTTGTTAAATAATCCTAATATAACTCTCTACCCAACTCAGGTTTGAACCGAAAAACCCGACATAATTACTTAGCATAAACATCA